GTATAAATCCAATCTCTTCACTTCTTCAGTCTCTTCTTTTGTCAACTGTGAAAACTGACTGTAAGATAAATTCTCTTGAAGATGCTTTGGATTGCATTGTAATATAGGAATGAATTCCTCTCCGTGGGTTGAGAACACACTTTCACTTGTACGGTGGAATTATTTTGTTTCACCATCCAAAAATTGAATATTCGTACAGTCATGATGACAATGAGCAAATGGAACGTGTAGACTTACAAAATTCACCAGTTGACAAACTCTCCCGCTCTGTGTTGGGGTGAAAAGATTATAAAGATGTCATCAATATATTGCCCATAATATTTATAAGATCGGTGAAACGGAATTTGACTGGGATTTACATAATGAATTGATTATTATTGTTGATATTGCATGTAATGAATATATACCTGTTTTAAGATATTATAAACAGCACACAATGCACTTTATAAGATGGAACAAATCGAACACATTAATTTATATAAAAAAAGATTTTTGCAGTGTATATATTTATTGTTTAACTCAGCTCAGGTTGCTATGGCTGGGATTTAACAAGGTCTCTAATTCAGGAACTGCCTTTAGCCAAGAAGAAACGTGGAGTATCCATATTTTGAAAAAATAATAAAATGTATAAATCCTTCCTCTCGGGGCCTCTCAGTAGCCCAGAACCACAAATTTGATCTGAAAATAGAATTACTTGTCAAAACAAAAATGGTTTTTATATTGAACTGCAGCCAACAGATCCAGCAGGAAATATGGGGTTGGATCCCGCTACATGCCCAGTACTTGAAAAACAAACAAAAACAACCCCCCCACAACACACCACCCTATAGCAGGCCCGGCTTTATCACAGGGCTGGTCGTATGAAGGGGGCTGGTCGTATGTTGCTGGTCGTATGAAGAACTAACATCCAGGGACCCTGTCCGAGAAGGAGGAACAATCCTGATGCCAGCAAGCCAAGATGAAGCATAGAATCACCGAATCACACAGAGTTGGACGGGGCCATACAGGCCATCTAGTCGTCCAACACCCCCTGCTCAATGTAGGATCAGCCTAGAGCATCCCTGACAAGGGTTTGTCCAGCCGCTGCTTAGAGACGGCCAGGCAGGGGGAGGCTCACCACTTCCTGAGGCAGGTGGTCCCGCTGTGGCACAACTCTTACTTAGTCAAAAAGCTTTCCCTAATGTCCAGCTGGTACCTCCCCCCCCTTCATTTAAACCCATCACATTGCGAGTCCTCCTCTCCTCTGCTGCCCAGAGGAACAGCTCCCGGCCCTCCTCTTAAGGGGCAGCCTTTGAAATACTCCCAAGAGAGGCATATCGTGTGTGTCCCCCCCCCCAACCTCCTCTCCTCCAGACTGGCCATTCTCAAGGCCCTCAGCCTTTCCTCGTGAGGTCTCCCGCCCCCCCCATCACCCTCAAAGCCCCCTAGGTCCCCCCCCCCCCGCTTACAGTTCATCATTTGTTTATTCTTACCCAGCAACTGGCGCGGGGAAGAGATGGTGGAGGTGCCCCTTATTTGCCTGGTTAGGCTTTCTGTCTGCCGGATTTTTCCATCTGGGTGGTTTTATACAAACTAATCAAGTGTTAGCACCGGAAGAGTCCTCAGAGGTCATCTAGGCCAACCCCGTGCTCAGGGCAGAAAGACGCAGCTCCGGGATCTGGCACTGATAGCCATCTTGCCTCCCCTTATGGTATTTGATACTGTTTAGGGGAAACGGAATGTCCACACACCACAGAGCTGTTAGGTAGCAAAGGGTTTTTTTTAAAGAGGAGTCACAGGAAGGAGGAGATTTCTTTGTGGTGACACAAGACGTCCATTTTCAGAAATCTCTTCCTCTTTCTCAGCAGTGCTGTTGGGGGGGGTCTCATCCCTCACAGTGCCCATTCCCAGAACGGCCAGGCAGCTGCCCTCTTCCACCTGTGCTGTGTCCACACTGCTCTGCCGCTACGCCTGACTAGTTTGGCTTCCTGCAGAGAGAGAGATCCCTGCAGAGACTGACGGGCTGACGTCCTCTTTTATCTCCCTGATCCGAACTCAAAGTGGCTGACAACGCTCTGCTCCTTTCCTCCACTTTAGCCTCACAACAACAACCCCACGAGGTAGGCTAGCCTGAGAGAATGACTGGCTCAAAGCCACCCAGCCAATTCCCCTGGCAGAGTGAGGATTCAAACTTGGATCTCCCACATCCGAGTCTGATGACCTAATTGCTACACTGCAAACCTCCCTCTCCCTTCCTCTTGTTTTATCTTGTGGGGGTGAGGTGGGCAAGCTGCCTGGCACCCCCTCCCCCACTTGGACACAGAAGCAAGCATTACTAATGAAAAGTACTGAGAAACGTTGAGTGATTTCAGCAAAGTACTTTTATTAGGATAGAACAAGACAAGGACTCCCGGCTCGCAGGCCGGTATTTATGCCCAGAAAACCCACCACCAAACCACACCCCTTACTTCACTATAGGTTATTTACAGTGGCCGAGAGTCCCATAGGCTCTCGGCCGCGGATCCGGCCCTCTGATAGGTGCAGGCTAGGATCCACTCGGCTATTGTTCTCAGGGGAGCGAAGCTCTGCTGTTCGGCATGACCGCATGGCCCAACGGTGGTCATAGCTATTAGCCACAAGGTATAGATAGGAACTCACAGGCTGGGGCAGGTGATGCACTGTGTTCTTGGTGCTTGGGGGGGGCAACAGTGGGAGGGCTTCTGGTGTCCTGGCCCCACTGGTGGACCTCCTGATGGCCCCTGGCATTTTTGGCCACCGTGTGACAAAACAGTGTAGGACTGGATGGGCCACTGGCCTGATCCAACACTGGCTTCTCTGATGTACTTATATTAACTGGAGGGTGATTAAAATGTGGGATTTGCTGCCAGAGGATGCAGTGATGGCCACAGGAATAAACAGCTTTGAAAGGGGATTGGATATATTCCTGGAGGATAAGTCTATCAATGGCTTCTAGCCACGGTGACTGAAGGGAACCTCCACATTCAGAGGCAGTCCACCTCTGAATCCCAGAGCCAGGAGGCAACCTCAGGGGAAGGCCTCCCAGCCTCCAGGTGGGGCCTGGGGATCTCCCGCTTTTACCACTGATCCCCAGCCGACAGAGATCAGCTCCCCTGGAGAAAATGGCTGCTTTGAAGGGTGGACTCTATGGCATTGTACTATGCTGAGGCCCCTCCCCTCCCCAAACCACACCCTCTCCTGGCTCCACCCCCAAAGTCTCCAGGTATTTTCCAACCCAGACTTGGCAACCCTACTCAGGGGAAGGCCTCGGCCTCTCTGCCCTGTTGTTGGCCCTCCAGAGGAACTAGTTGGCCACTGAGACGGGAAGCTGGACTAGATGGACCCTCCCTGGTCTGATCCAGCAGGGCTCTTCTGATGTTCTTCTCAGGGGAAGGCCTCGGCCTCTCTGCCCTGTTGTTGGCCCTCCAGAGGAACCAGTTGACCACTGTGTGAGATGGGATGCTGGACTAGACGAACCTAGGAGGGTTTTTATGATGTTCTCTTTTTTTCATTTTTGTTCCAGAGTTGTACTTGGTTTTAATTTCTGCCAGCCTAATCCTATTACATACAAGCCCAATGACATGCAATTCACTGTGAGCATTTCTTATGTTAGAGTTAACTTTCCTGCAGCAACACTGCAAACCAATGATGCGTTCATTCTTCACATGGCAAGATTTATTTCTGGGCACTTATCCAGTGGCTCAGAATTATTTCTCTCAACTACACAACACTGAGAACTTTGCTGAAATGGTAAAAATGTTTGTTTGTTCGGCCCTTGACCATCGGATCTGCAGCCAGACCACTGCCTGGAGAACTGGGATCCCCCCCCCTTCGGTGACCCTCTCAGGAGTACATTTCCTGTTCGCATTGGCTTCTGCATTCTTCAAGAGCGGCCTGTGTACAGGTGGAGTTGGTCTGGATACAGCATCGTAATAGCTCACCTCTTCTTGGCATGATTTTGTTGGTTGCTTTCTTTTCTGCTTGAGGTTAAAACAGTTATGCCTGCCTCTGTTTTTCCAGGCAAGAGAGGGCAGAAATGAAGAGAGTTGCTTGCAGGAGGAGAAAGGGCAACTCGAATGATAAAAGGGTTGGAACACTTTTCCTATGAAGAAAGGTTAAAGTGCTTAGGGCTCTTTAGCTTGGAGAAACGACAGCTGAGGGGTGACGTGATCGAGGTTTACAACATTATGCATGGGAAAGAGCAGGTAGAGAAAGAGGTACTTTTCTCCCTTTCTCACAATACAAGAACTCGTGGGCACTCCAATGAAATTGCTGAGCGGTCGGGTTAGAACGGATAAAAGGAAGTCCTTCTTCACCCAGAGAGTGATGAACACCTGGAATTCACTGCCACAGGAAGTGGTGGCGGCTACAAGCATGGACAGCTTGAAGAGGGAATTGGAGAAACATCTGGGGCAGAGGTCCATCAGTAGCTATTAGCCACAAGGTATAGATAGGAACTCACAGGCTGGGGCAGGTGATGCACTGTCTTCTTGGTGCTGGGCGTGTAAGAACGAATCGTTCTGAACGATATGAAGTAAAGAACTACATGGAAAGAATAAGCACACGTGAGACCAGCGGCCCCTGAAGTCCCACGGCGCTGCAGCGAGAAGCAAGGCGGGGGGCGGGGGCGTGTTAGGAAGCGCCGCCCTCGGAGGAGGGGAGCGCCGCCGCCACCGCTCTGTAGGGGGAGAGACTCGGAGGAGGGGCCGCGCCGTCCGGGCTTGCTGCCAGCGCCGAGTCCAGCCCCGTCTGGGAAGCGCCGGGCCCCTCCCTCCCTCCCGCGGGCCTGTCCCGGAACCGGGGCGCGCTTCCCTCCGACGGGGCGCGGGAGGCGGCCGCACAGCCGAGCCAGCCCTGCCGGTGGTGGACGGGGATCTCGCCTAGCCTACCTGGCGCCCGTCCGAAGGACATCGCCGGTCTCCTCCAGGCCGGCCGGCCGCTCGCCCCTCCCTCCCGCGGGGGCCATGACCTTCCCGGTGGCGCAGGACAACGAGCTGCCGGCCCTGGGCCGCCCGCTGCACCTGGGGATGCTCTACGACCGGCGCTGCGACACCTTCGTCCCAGGTACGTTCGACTCCTCCGAGAGGCACATCCGCCTTCTGGACCGCTCCCAGGTGTCGCCGTGCGCTTAGGCGGGCTAGGTTTCCCACGCGCTTCCTTCTGCACTCCGGTCAGGAAGAGACCAACACATCCCATCTAATTGTAGATCTTGATTGTTAATTTATTTTATTTCTTAGATTTATATCTCAGCCGCTCAGGGCAGCTAACAACAAAGCTATAAATATACATTAAAACTCTCATATAAACAACATTAAAATAAGTTTAAGTATAAAACTGTAGTCACACAGCACATGATGTTATTACAAGATGATGTTGTTACAAGCTGCTTAGCTAACCTGAAGGAAACACTGGCTCGCTTTAGGCTCTGTGCAGAGGCAGCCCCTCTCTTGTCCAATATGAAAATGTTCTCTGGGAAGAAACCTCTAACCGTCTTATTGGCAGGGCTTGACCAAACAACCACTGTTTCTGGAGCAAAGATTCTGGACTCTGCAATTAAAATGCAAGCGGAGTGAATGCCCAGGGCATCACTGACCAAGATTCTAACCTTTTAACTGTAGGTCTCTTAAGACAAGTGATGCATAGATAGGTTTTATGTATTTATTTATTTATTCAGCTTTTATCCCGCCCTTCCATTGAAGCGGCTTAGGGCGGCTCACAGTGTTAATAAAACCAACATACATAAAACAATCGATTCATAAAACAACTTTACATAAATAGAGGTTAATTTTATACTGCTGAAATTGCTGAGCGGTCGGGTTAGAACAGATGAAAGGAAGTCCTTCTTCACCCAAAGAGTGATTAACACACGGAACTCGCTGCTACAGGAGGTCGCGGCGGCTACAAGCATGGACGGCTTCAAGTGGGAATTGGATAGGCATATGGAGCAGAGGTCCATCAGTGGCTATTAGCCACAAGGTATAGACAGGAACTCTCGGTCTGGGGCAAGTGATGCTCTGTATTTTTAGTGCTTGGGGGGGGGCAACAGTGGGAGGGCTCCTAGTGTTCTCCTGGCCCCACTGCTGGACCTCCTGATGACCCCTGGTATTTTTGGCCACCATGTGACACGGAGTGGATGGGCCATTGGCCTGATCCAGCATTGGCTTCTCTTATGTTCTTATGTTCTTACTGGTGTTTTTCTCTGTTTTGTTCCGCTTCTGAATGGCCTGTGGGCCATAATAAAGACTGGACTGAACTGCTTCTAAAGACCCATAGCCAGCTGGGCACAAAGTGAGGAGAGGCCTCCCAGCTCACAAGACAGAACACAAAAGTTTCTCCCACCTGGTCGGGTATAGTGGAGGTGATCCAAATGCTTCAGTTTTGGTGCACTCCCCTCCCCCCAGCAAGGAAAGAGAATTTCTGGAAGCTGGCCAAGGATTTCATGCAAGAAAAATATTTGTTCCCACTTTATAAATATCTCTGGGGGGAAACCCTCGAACGTTCCCCCCCCAAAAGAACACAAAGGATCAGGAAAAAAGCTCTTAATAAACATAGACACGTCTGTCGTGGTTAAGAGCAGCAGACTCTGATCTGGAGAACTGGGCTTGATTCCCCACTCCTCCTCCTACTCCGCGTGTAAGCCTGCTGGGTGACCTTGGGCCAGTCATAGTTTCTCTCAGAGCTCTCTCAGCCCCACCTGCCTCACAAGGTGCCTGCTGTGGGGAGAGGAAGGGCAAGGAGATTGTAAGCCACTCTGAGGGTCCTCACGGTAGAGAAAAGTTTAAAACCTACCCTTCTTCCCCACTGAGTGGTTTGTTTGTGTAAATTTACACAAACTATCTGCCCACTGCATACCCAGCAGTGCCAGTTTGATGTAGTGGTTAAGTGCGCCAACTCTAATCTGGGAGAACCGGGTTTGATTCCCCACTCCTCCACTCGCACCTGGCTGGCGTGACCTTGGGCAAGCCATACTTCTGCCAGAGCTTTCCTTGAAAAAGAGCTGTTCCTGTCAGAGCTCTCTCAGCCCCTCCTACCTCACAGGGTATCTGTCTGTTGTGGGGAGGGGAAGGGAGAGGAGTTTGTAAGCTGCTCTGAGACTCCCTTGGGTAGTGAAGGGCGGGGGGTATAAATCCATTCTCCTCTTCTCTTCTCTTTTCTTCTTCTCTTCAATTAATTTAAGGTCAGCTTGAAGAGAAATTCCAGATAATCTGCGGGCTGTATCTGTCCCTCCCACTGCCACAGGAGGTGGTGGCGCCTACAAGCATGGACGGCTTCAAAAGGGAATTAGATAAGCATATGGAGCAGAGGTCCATCAGTGGCTATTAGCCACAAGGTATAGATAGGGGCTCTGGGGCAAGGGATGCTCTGTTCTTGGTGCTGGGGGGGGCAACAGTGGGAGGGCTTCTAGTGTCCTGGCCCCACTGCTGGACCTCCTCATGGCCCCTGGTATTTCTGGCCACTGTGTGACACAGAGTGTTGGACTGGAGGGGCCTTTGGCCTGATCCAACATTGGCGCCTCTTATGTTCTTATGTTATATTCTAATGTAGATGACCCAAGTCTGTTTGTTCCCAAACCACCCTGACCTTTCTAGTGGAACGCAGGAGAGTTCAGGCCTGCCACGACCTTCTGTATTCTAGATGCACTTTCTAGTTTCATAAGCACCATTGCGCCCACAAATATGCTCCACTTCCCCATCGCCTCCTTCCTGGTCACATCCTCCAACGTGGGAAGAAAGAGGAATCACTCCGCTACTTTCTCTGGCTGCGGAGGAAGGGTCCTCCGTAATGTGCAGGGAAAGGATTTCCATTGCCTGTCCGTGAACTGGAGCATTGCTTGCATGAGAGCTTTTATTCTCCTGCGCAGATTCAACCCCCCGAATCAGGAAGGGCAAGAAGATGCTTGTGTGGGGCCCCCAGAGGCTTCCTGAGGCCCCAAAGCCACAATCCGACCTCAATTTATGGCCACAGTGATATCAGGCCTTCTTCCTTTCGGGTTCCCTTTGTGGTTGCTTGCTCCATTCATTCCTTGCTGTCCCTCACTCCTCTGCCGTCTCCTTCCCACCGTGCACCGATTCCACATTCCAAGGGCACAAGCTGCGTTTTTGCATCCTTGTGATTTTTGCCACTTGCGCTCTGTCACTGGGGTGGGGGGTGGAGTGGGGTGCATGAGCATTCATAAGCACATTCAGAGGCAGTGACTGACTTTGAGAATCCCATCAGAGGAAGGCCTTAGCCTTTGTGCTGTGTTTGTTTGGCCCTCCAGGTTGGCCCCTGTGTGAGACGGGAGGCTGGACTAGATGGAGCCTCCCTGGTCTGACCCAGCAGGGCTCTTCTGAGGTTCTTACGAAATATGAAATTACAAGGGAGTCGTTACCGGCTAAATATCAGGAGAAACTCCTAACCGTAAGAGTGGTTGAGCAGTGGAACAGTCTGCCTCGGGAGGAGGTGGTGGGCAGTGTTCCCTCTAAGCTGAGTTAGTGTGAGCTAGCTCACAGTTTTTCAGCCTCCGGCTCACACATTTTTTGTCTTAGCTCAGGAAGGATGGCTCCAGAGCAAGCTAATTTATGCACTAGCCATATTGCTTGCTCACAACTTTAATGCCAGTAGCTCACAAAGTAGAATTTTTGCTCACAAGACCCCACAGCTTAGTGGGAACATTGGTGGTGGGTGCTCCTTCGCTGGACGTTTTCAAGCAGAGGCTGGACGACCATCTTTCGGGTATGTTGTAGGTATGTAGGGCCATCTTTCAGCTATGCTCCTGCAGAGTGCAGGGGGTTAGACTAGATGACCTGTAAGTTCCCTTCCAACTCTAACATTCTATGATTCTATGAAGATCTCAGCCTCTGCACCCTGTTGTTGGCCTGCCAAAGGAACCGGCTGGCCCCTGTGTGTGAAAGAGCGTGCAGGACTTGTTGGACCCTCGCTGCTCTGATCCGGCAGGGCTCCTGGGATGTTCTTACTAGTGCCTGCCTTAATCCTGGTAGGAGGCTTTTGTGTGTGTCTGCATGGTTGGTGCAGTACTTAGGAAGGAAGAATATTCCTCTAATATTCAGTTTCAGTTTTAATAGCTATGTAAAGTACAAGTGTGTGGTGTGGGGAAGTCAGGTGGCATTGATTGATTGAATAAACGCATGACCCATATGATTTATTAATTAATTAATTTGATTGATACCCCGCCCTCCCTGCCAAAGGCAGGCTCAGGGCGGCTTGATGCGCAGTCGCCCACCTGCTTGGAGCCAGCCGAATCCCGAGAGTGGGTTGTTATTGCCCACCCCACATATGTGTCAAGGGAATGTAGAGAAGAGAGGGAAATGCTGAGGACAAAAAATCAAGGTGTGGAAGCAGCAGGGGCCAGACGCGGCTGCAAGAGGGTGAGAAGGTGGCGCAGAGCTGACGTTTTCCTGAGGTACTCGGATGGGAATGGCGCCTGGAGATCCTTCGGTCGTAACTGACACAGGTAATAAGGAAATAATTCCGTCCTTACAAAGAGACCGGGAAGAGCAGCTCGCAGTGACACCAGAATAACCGTTGTTTATTGACGGGTTATACGAGGCGGAAGAAATAATAAGGAAGCTCTTGCTGGATGTGGGGCTGGAAGGGGACAGATTATTCTGAGTTAATATCCTTCATTGCGCACTTTGATTACTTTATTGCATTGTTTTCTTAATGTTTTACTCCAGGTTTTTCCCAGGGGAGGGGGCGTGGCACTTCCTGCTCTCGTCAGATCTCGGGAGCTGAGCAGGGCCAGCCATGGTTAGTACCTGGAGGAGAGAGCTCCAAGGAAGACTCTGCAGAGTTAGGCAGTGGCAAACCACCTCTGCTTCTCATCTGCCTGGAAAGCCCCTGGCTGGGCTCACCCTAGGCAGGCAGGCAGGCAGATAGAATGTCTGGCTACATTATTCCCCCTGGCTTGTAATCCTACTTTGCTGTCTGATCTCTCCTGTGAACATACGAACATAAGAGACGCCAATGTTGGATCAGGCCAAAGGTCCATCCAGTCCAACACTCTGTGTCACACAGTGGCCAAAAATACCAGGTGCCATCAGGAGGTCCCCCAGTGGGGCCAG